GGGTTAAAAAAAAAAAAAAATTTTCTCTTTTCCCCCCCCCCCCCCCTCCCAACCCCCGGTCCCATCAGTTTACCGACTAATTAGCTAAATATTCACATTCGTAAAAAGCTCTTAATTCTAAGGTCGCTATAAATTCTAATCCCTGTGTGTAATTCTGTATTAACACTTAAAGCTAGGAACCTACGTATTTATGAACATAGGGAAACGATTCTCGGCACGGCACACTGTACATATCCACGAATGGCAAAGTTAACGTAACGCAATGGAACGCGATGCAATCCAATGTAATGCAACGAAATGGTTGCTACGTACTGCTTTTCGTATTGTCTGAACTCGTTGCCGCGCTATTGACTCTGAGCAACAGGTCTTTCGCTGCGTAGGTGGTCGCTGAGTTAGCATCGTTACTAACTGGCTCGTTATCGACAGAAACTGGAATATCGTTCGAAGAATGAACCGAAACGTTCGAAACAGCGTTCGTCTCACTAGCTCGTAAACTTTGGTGATGCGCACTGTAATTGTCTAGAAAACATCAGAGACCCGACTGAGGGGGTTGATGGGTGTTCCAAGGTACATCTGCAATTGCAGGTGGCATGCTTGCTTGATTGTGCATGGCACGCGGTGCTCTCATGATTTCGTCTGCGGGTGGACAGTGAGGCCGAGGACCGGGTTCTGGTGTATAGGTGAACGTTAGACCGGTTGCGTAGATAATGCCATCATTACGAACCAATGAGACAGGTACCTGAGTCGGCTGCCGCACCCAGAGCCATTCGCCCCTAAATTGCGATATATCGGGCACCACACAGAGCATACTTTCCTGACATCTGTACATGGTCTCCGCTTCTACGTCGCCGAACCATACTTGAAGATTCGGCGTAAAATTGTCCCCCGTCAATTCGAGCATTGCCACGTCCCCGCCACCGTTTAAATGTAAGCTATGAACTAATGGTACCGGCGTCACAGGTGATCTGACCGGACCCATACCCTCAAAAAATTGATACTCTGCCTTATCGGTGCTGATTATCGTCCAACAGGCACCATCGTTTATCATTTCTTTGTTGGCCTCCTTCGGGCAAGGTGTAGCTTGAAATTGAATAATACGTTCTTGAGACAAGCAAAGGTACATGTGATCTGTGTCCTTCATGTAAAAAGCACATTTGTGCAGTTGCGAAACGGGATCATCCGCCTCTAGACTAGCCATCTGCTTGTCCACTTTCCGAATTACTAGACGCGGAAGTGCCATTCCCGTTACGGAACATACCAATTTCACTGTACTACCATAATGTACATAGCCGTCTCGCACTTGAAATTCTTCCGATTCGCTCTCGTTGTCATCCAATAGATGTATAGTAAACGCACCCCACTGCGTAGAACTCGCATGAAAATTTCCATTCTCAACGTGAAGATAACGCGTACTAACTGTCTGAGATCGTAACCGATTGAATAACGCAACTTTCGTTCCGCTCGCTATACACAAATCGGCATTCTTCAATGATTGTTTCTTCTTTGACGGTTTCGAGATCACTTTGATTCTTTTACTATGAAACACGCCGATGTCGTGTCCGCTACCGTAGAACATTTTCACCGAAAGCATAAAGTGCTTCCTCTTGTCAGAATCCGAAATATAAAGTGTCTTTGCCGCGCAATATTGTTTACCATTGTTCAGATCCAATTGTTGCATGTCTTGGTCGGAATTTCCGATTCCGATAAACGCGCAAAGTTGAGCGGATTGTTCGCTCTCTCCCTCGCGAAGCATCTGTTCTTGGCGCATTCTCCACCCGTCCCCAAACAAATAGATACACGGTGGCGGACAAAAGAATCGTTTTTCGTTACCATACGACTTTTGCGCAACCTTTGCGTGAAGTATTACAATAACCATGTCACTTCTATCGCGCAAATAACGTTCCATTGCTTCGCGTGTCAACCTTTGATCTTGATGATCCGGTCTATAGACACCGGATCCGAATCGAGGATAAACCGACATGACCGAAGTCGGCGAAGGAGGAGATTGCATTCCATGCGCCATCGTGGGCAAACCAAACTGGTGTGGCATATTTAACCTTCGCTTCGATCCTCTCGACTATACAACAGAGTTGTTAGGTTGCTTGCAGACTATCCTTGTCATCTATGCATGTCATAATTGCCTTTGCTCCTTTACCTGAAATACATTTCATCGTGTCTAATTACAATCATTATCCTTTCCTATTATCAGTTTCATTCTTATTTTCACAAATAGTCTTTTAGTTAATACATAATAAAAGGGAAAAAATGCTATTAAATAAAATGGAAATAAAATATATGATTATACAAGTATTATAATACCATATAATATATGCATAATAATATTATAAGTATAACAAAAATGTTGTCTTCTTAGCTATATATGTTTGAATAGACACAGAAGTATACGATTCTGTTCGTTTAAGACCATAGTGTGGGAAAGATTTTTGTTTTTTACAATGCAAGATATAATTAACGTAAGGTATCTTTCTTTAAACGAGCTACCAAGAATTGCTAGTCTTAGTACAGGAAAGAGGAAATGTACATATATACTGTGGGAACCAAGCTGAGCTCATTTTTCCTGCATGAATTAAAACACCCTTGTCCGTTGTGTCTATACTATTATACCTATGTATTTGCAAATATGAAAATGTACTCTAATCAATTTTATACACGTAACATGACTATTTCCAAATTTCTATATGTTTTATAAAGCAAAAGTACCAAACTAGTATTCTCTAAAAAGTACAAAATTTATGCTTCCTAATAAAACTTACGTGCCAATTGTCTGACATAAGTCACGTATACTGGCAACTCTTAATTAAATGCATCACGAACGGAATCACAAGTACATCCTTTCGTGTGAAACCACAGACCAAACTTTATATGTTACATTGACTATATAATATAACAACATACATTACTACACAAATAGGAAACTGATTTAAATTTTACATGTTAGAACTTTTACATATATAAAATTATATATAACATTACATAACAAGTTGAAAAATACGTTGGAACAGCTTTATAAAAATCTATTTCCAAAAATAAAGTATTTGTATTTTATAACACTTTAATAACAGAAACTAAACATTACACTTGTTCATTAGAAATTACTTTGATTTTAGAAATGGATTAATAAACCTTGAAAATAGCAAATCTATACAATTCATTTAATAACGAATTATTAAAATACTAACAACCGTTTATTTACCTTTCTGATGCAAAGGTTACACGGAACAAACACAGGTTACGTTTTTGATTCTCACCTCATTTTTCGTAATAGCTTGACTCGAAACATAAATCCCAATGCATTTTTTAAATTATCGGTTATTCACAAATATCACACCATTTCTCGATTCTTCACCATTCGCAAATCCTTTTGCGTCCTCGTCACCTATTCTCCCTAATCCATTCAAAAAACACCTGTTCACTTTCCGAATTTTCCGAACAGTCTTACCAACCCTTAGAAATAACTTAGCCGCGCGCGCCACTTTAAATCCAAAATGCAAACATACTGTTTCGAAACATCGCTTAAAACTAATTTCGATCGTATAGAAAATTTGTTGCTTTGTCCCCTTATTTTTAAACTTTTCGTACTCTCATAATTTTCAAGGTACCGTAGAATGATAAACATTTACTTCGATAAGCGTATAACAAAACACACAACCTTCTCCGACGGTATTCGCCGAGTAACTAAGTTCGAAACGACAACGTAGAGTTATTACTACCCGCGTAAGTGGCTCTAACAGGTATGTATTTGTAAGGGATCCAGAAGCCCCTTGATATAAAAATAATCAGTATTCGCTTAAACATTTATATCATTTCTTTTTTCTGTTATCAATGGTAAATATCAACTTAAATATTTCAGATTTCAAACTGATACAAAGTGACATTAAATAATAAAAGAAAGAAATAGACAAGTGCATTATTTTTTCCTAATCTATTAGAACGTTTTATCGAGTTGTACTCCATGTCGTTGAATAGTAATACAATCTATATAATTTCTAACTTATCCAAGAAATGTCAACAATGTTTATTAATCCTTATAAAGTCTAATTTAAAGTGCAACAATTTCTAGTGGTTTCTATAGTTACGTTACTGAGCTGCAGATTCTATTGTTTTACTGTTGTACAATGGCCTGGTCGACCCAAGCGCCTCCAGTTTCCCCTCTTGTTCCCCACCTGACGTGAGCTACTCCCCTCTACTCCGTAGGTACCGTGGAATTGCTGCCGCAAAAGGATGTTGGGGTTACTCTGGGGGGCGTGGGAAAAACCTGCTGTGGGAAACCTCACTTCACTTCTCTCATGATGACGATACGATATATACATCATGTCTACGAGTGTGTATATAACATAGACTAGACAAGTTACACACAAGTGTACTTCACATATTACATTAGATACTTGTATTCGAATCACACGAACGGCCAACAGCCTGGTACTGCGTAATATAGGACGAGTGCGCGTGGATAGACAAATTAACGTTCTATGAGATTACCTCTTATTTCATCGAAAGTCTAGTTTTTGTCCAATTAAAAAATTTACATGAACGTTGCAGCAGCAGTTTCATTGCTGAAAACGTACGTTACACGTTTTGTAGGAAATTGTTTTTTGAATACTATAAATACATGAACACATTTGGCTTTTTTATATAGACACTTTTAGAAAATTTTATAATTTCTCATGATAGAAAGAAATTTTAGTTTGTTATTGGAATTTATAAAATTATATTTTCGTATTAGTATATACCTCTATTTTCTATGTTAAATTTGTATAAATATGTACTATAATTTTAATATCCGAAGGAATGACAGTTCGATAAAATTGTATTTTTCGTTTCTAAGTGTGAATGTATTAGTTTGTTAAAGCTTAATGACTCGATGAAAGTAGGATACCATTAATGATATTCACTATCTAGCCAATTCAATTACTAATTCACGATAAAAATACAATTAAAATATATAGTTATTAATATATATGTGCGTCGAGTATTAATACCATATAAAAGAAGTGAATAATTTTTTTAACATTAATGTATACATAGGTATGCATGTATAAAGGATACATATGTAAATGTGTTTTATGTTAGTAGTATCTCCAAAATATTTTTCGTTTCTTTGTATATCTTCATAATGTATTTAAAATTTAGGTTATAAATAATCAAACATACATTATACTGTTAACATACAACTATTTGGACTTCTAAATATAAGCAAAAGAAGAAAAAGCTGATATTTATGTTTCTGAATGTTTGAATTGACAAATCATTTCATAATGAAAATTGTGAAATACATTATAATATATTGTATTAATTAAAACACATCCAAATGTATTGTTTTTCATAGGTTTGTTGCCTTACATAATGGGTGTTTATGGCCTTTGGCGTTTAATTGATGCAGCAGGAAAACAAGTACCTTTAGACACACTAGAAGGAAAAGTTTTAGCTATTGGTATATTTTAATATTTATTTTTACATATTTACATATTCATATATTTATCAAGACCTATTCATACATTTATTTACAGTTAAATTATATTCACATAAATAATAAAATTTCATGATTTTATAGATATATCAATTTGGATACATCAAGTATTACAAGGATATCAAGATCGATTTGGTAACCCAAAACCTAATGCTCATCTGATTGGTTTATTTCATAGAATATGCAAACTTATGTATTACAAAATTAAACCAGTTTTCATTTTTGATGGAGGTGTACCAATGCTTAAGAAGGACACAATCGTAAATATATTTTTAATTATACCTTTATTTTTTAACATATGAACCTTAGGAATGTTTATGTTACAATAAATATATCAAGTATAGATCATCATACAATGTAATTTAGTCAATTTAATTTCATTTAACTTTTTAATTATCTAATTTATCGTCTGCCTCAAGTAATATTAGGTACATTGTGTATGCATGTATTAATGAAACTGTACTTTTATCTTGGTTATAATATTGTCTGTACATAATTAGTTTGCTGTGGGAACCAGGTAGTGAGAAAAGAGGTTCTTATTCTTTTGTGTTCACAGGCTTTACGCAGGAAACAGAAATCTATGGCCAAGAATAAAGCCCAACAGATGAGGACAGAATTAATAAATAATTTGATAAAACATTCTACAGTAAAAACAATTCTTAATACTGAGGAACAAAACACTACAAATGCCCCTTCTGAAGTAATTATAAATTTGCAAAATAAACAAACAACGGATGATATGTTCAAATTACCAAATATTCCGAGTACAAGCAACACGGAATTAAATCTTAGCGATAATTCCGATTCAGATTCGCCTGATGAACTGAGTCCACGGAAGCAAACAAAATGGATTGGAAATATTCATAACGTCGATGTAACTAGTGCCGAATTTAAAGATTTACCAGCTGACGTGCGTTATGAAATTCTAACAGATCTCAAAGAAACAAGAAAGCAAAGTTCATGGGGTCGATTGCACGAAATGCCTGAAGTACATACTCATCTTGAAAGCTACATAAACACTTATATTTATCATTTATCTAAGATATGTTTTCATTTAGGAATCAAATCAATTTTCTGGTTTCCAAATGAAACGTTTGTTGAAGCGTAGGTTAGTACAACAAAGTTTAGAAAGTGCAGAAAAAGAAATGGGTGGAAAAACACTTACATTGGACGAGTTAGATAAATTATTAAAAGAACAAGGGATAACTACAAATGTCCAGAATTATACTTATCGTATTGCTGCAGACAATACAACTAGATTAATTTATATTAGTGGTATGTTAACATTCCGTATTATTTACGTAAAACCGATTCCGTTTTATCTATATCCTTATTTGTAAACTTAATGTTGCAGATAAAAATGCATATCTCAAAGGTAACAATGTCAATTCAAATAGTGAGAATGCACAAAATAATGAGAGTAAAGTAAATGAGGCCACTGCTGGTTCCAGTAAAGCTACATCAATCTATGATGATATAAATGAATATGAACTTAATGATGATTGGGATAGCGACATTGAAATGTCTACGGATGATTTTAAATTTACAGAAGAAGTAAATAGCGATACACAATCAGAAATAGAATCGAATGAATCGCGAGCATTATCAAAAAAATATTTCGGAAAATGCGCTACGAATCCTGCACTAATGTATATGTTAGAATATAGCGGATTAACGGAGAAGCAAATTCTTACTCTTCTTGAACAAGGTAATGGTGAAACTAATAAAGTCACCAAAGATGTCACAAAAGTGCCACAACAGGTCACTTTCCTTGAAACACAGCATTGTGAAAATAAAAGTAATTTATCAAATGAGCAACATTTAATTCAAATACTTGAAAATAATGGAGAACATACAAAACTAGATTGTACAAATATAAAATCGATTCATGTGTCGGAAATGCATGACGGAATTACGGAATGTGACTCAACAAATTCTAAATCAAATGTTGAAACAAATATTATTAATTTATCTCCTATGAAAACCGCAAACATTTCGAATAAAACGAACGATGAATTAGAAAATGTAACTGCAATTAGTTCAACAGATTCGGACTCAGATGACTTTATAGAGATAGAAGATACACCAATATCAGAAGTAACCACTACTGTTAATAAATGTATTCCACAACAAGGTATTCAGATAACATTTAAATCTGATGAAAAAATGGAAAGTGATATATTCGCTGATATATTTGAAACATCCAATAACGAATTAAACGCAGAAATATATTCACAAAATACACAAGTCTTCGATAAGTTGCCTATGCAATCGCCGAAAAGTCTTTTCTCCGAGAATGAAATATCAAAAAACGAAATCACTTTTGAGGAAATAATTGTGCAGTCGACAAAAGATCAAGTTAAGGATAAACAACTATCTAATATAGAAAAAATGAATGACATCAATGTAGAGTCTATCATAGATATTGATGTGAATATTTTAAATACAAATGCACAGTCTGGAGAAGATCAAACGAAAGACAAAACTGGTATTGAAAATGTAACCAATTTTCCAAAAGATAATGTAGAAGCTGCAGATAATGCAAATATTAATATAATAATTGATCACTCAAGAAAAGTAAGTCGTATACCGACGAATGAAGATGAATTGTTATCCTTACAAGTACGTAAGTCCAGATTTAAATGCGCATATACGCATAAGCGAACATTTTTTAAATATCTAATATACTTGATTTTCAGACACAACTAGAAGATAAACAAAAGGAATTAATAGCAAATATTGGTAAATTAGAAAGGCAAGGTATCGATATTTCTGATCAAATACGAATCGAAGCTCAGGTATTGCAATATAAATTTAAGAAATTATCAATAAACACTGTTACTTTTTCAATACAGTATTAATGACATTATTCACTTATAGGAATTGTTACGATTATTTGGAATACCATATATAGTAGCACCCATGGAAGCAGAAGCGCAATGCGCATACTTAGAACAAATTCATCTCACCAACGGTACAATCACGGATGATTCGGATATTTGGCTGTTTGGAGGACAATGCGTTTATAAAAACTTTTTCGATAATAAGAAAAAAGTTCTTGAATTTCGTTCCTGTGATATACAACATTATTTTAGTAAGCTGATTGCTATCTTACTAATCCAAAGAATACGTATTAAAGTTCAAATTATAGAACATTTATTTCTTTTAGAATTAACACGAAATGAAATGATACAACTTGCTCTCTTAGTCGGTAGCGATTATACAACAGGTTTGTCTGGCATTGGTCCCGTTACTGCCTTAGAAATATTAGCAGCATTTCCTTCAGAAGGTGACAATTTATTACGAGGTTTAACAAACTTTTATTCTTGGATCGAAAATGGCAAAGCCGCCGGTCCTGGAAAGTCGACCTTACGAACCAAGTTACAGAATTTACAAATTCAAAAAGGTAGATATGTGATTTCTCTCATCGCTATATGCACCTTATAATATATATTATTATTCTATATGCAGGCTTCCCAAGTCAAGCTGTTGTACAAGCATATCTTTCACCAAAGGTGGATGAGTCAAAAGAGACTTTCACTTGGGGTAAACCAAATATTGTACTTTTAGCTGATTATGCAAAACAAAAATTTGGTTGGGACAAAAATAAATGTGATAAAATTATGGAACCAGTACTCAAAAGATTAGAAGAGAAACAAGTCCAAAATAAAATAGATGCATATTTTAAATTACAAACTATTCCAAAATCAATTGAAATGAATTTGAGTAAACGAGTGCGAAAAGCTGTGCAAAGATTAAATAACGAGGATGTGGAAGATTCTGCGCGTGTAGAAAATGTGCAAGAATCAATTAAGAAAAAGAAATATTCAATTGAAAACCGAAAAAAGAAAAAAGAGTTGAAAAATAAAGAAACTTCAACTGATCATACCAAGTCTAAAGTTCTCGCTGTTACTGCTCCTAACGAAAAAAATGTCAATGAATATATACCGCAAAGAGAAAATGATAAAGCGAATGCATTAAAAAATAAGTTACATGCGATCGAAGTACTTCGAAAATCAAAACGAGGATTATACAAAACAAAAAAGGTAAAACGTTGTGTAAGAAAAGTGAAAATAGAAGCTGAGCTTTCAGAAAGTGATAGTGGTAGTTCGTAGTGTTATTTAATGTACCATAATTTAATAAAAATTAACGAATAAATTTTTTTAGAAATAAAATTTAACGCGTTTGTTAATTAATAAATTGTAAATTTAGAATATTATTTTTATTGAAAATTAATAGAAGCTTGTACATTTTTAAAAAAATAAATTATTATTGTATACAATACTTATTACTTTGTTTGAGAGGATATAAAATTAATGTTATTAAATGTACGAGGTACTTGTGCCAATAATCTTATAATTATCTTATAAAGATGTAATAAAATTAATTCCATGTTTTGTGAAACATACAACTAATACTCGAAAATATTCTAAAGATCAGTTGAGAGTATATTTCGTTTATAATATCTAAAATTTTTATGTTATATCTATTTTACTAATACTTTATGAGGTATCGTGTAGTGAAAGAAATATGATTTCAAAGAGGTATTTCAAATCATACCAGGATATTTTCAGATTCTCCCTTGTTTGTACCCTGATTTACTTTCTTCGTATATTTTGTACATCGATATGGAACCCCTCATATAATCTCTTAGAAACCAGCAGTTCTTCCTTCCCTGCGAAAATCCGAACTAGCATATATGAGTCCGTTTTGTTGGGATATTGCTGTAATTGCACTTCCAATTCCTGTGTAAGTTGTAATATTGTGTCCAATGCTCGATAAATAACTTAATACGTCTGCAGAAAATCCTTTTTCGTTTTGGACTTGCATTGGTAGTAGCTATGATTTAAAAAAAAAACGTTATTGATAATCGGGAATACGTAACAACAACTAGTCGAATCGATATTTGATTCTACCTGATGGTGAATTCTAAGTGTATCAATAGCTTGTTTTACGTTATATCCTGACCAAAGATTTAATATCATTGCTATCGCAACTGCAGAGGTGATTTTAGTTCCACCAGCAGCGCCAATTACTAAGCGAACGTCTTCGTTTTTGTCTATCTTTAGAAAGAACAAAGAAAAAAAGATAAAACTGTGATATCAATGTCATATATTATCTAGTAGTACGTCGTTATTTTATTCACGCTTACAACTACTGTCGGGCTCATAGAACTCATAGGTCTTTTTCCAGGTCGAATAAAATTCGCTGGTGAAACAGGTAAATCAAATCCATTAACTATATTTGGAGAACTAAAATCGTCCATTTCATCGTTAAATATTATGCCGGTTGATGTTGAACGTATCATTGCACCAAAACTGTCAAATTAATATGGAAATCAGAACTTTCGCAGTTGGAATAAATTCACAGTAGAATTTAAAATCAGAAAAATTCATATTTACATACACTTGATTTATCGTAGAAGTGACGGATACGGCCGATCCATCGGGAGCTAAAACTGAAACATGAGAAGTTCCTGAATCTTCTGGCATAGACACCTCAGCACCATAATACTTTGGATCGTTGTTTGTTTCGTTAACTTTTATTTTCTTCCAAATTGAGTCGGCATAATCGGTGGATGTTAAGTTATCGAGAGTGTCAGCTGAAAAGATATTATTGGTAATCAATCATTATCGATTTTTATATCTGACAATAAGAATTACTTCTGTAAGTGCTAGAATTAGATAAAATTAATTAATAAACTTGAACTACTCTATTGATATTGTCTGTCATACGCTTTTATTTAAAGTATTTTAAAGTCCAGGTTGAATGATTTATTTTAAAAGCAATAGAGATACTTATTGCATATAGTCATTGTGGCTGATAATAAAAATCGCTGACTCACTGATATTAAAGAAATCAGGATCAGCCAATTTAGTTCTCTTGGCGTAAGCCCATTTAAATGTTTCGATTATTATTTGCCACATAATCCTACTGTCATTATTAGGAACCATATTGCGAAGAACGTTCATGATAAAAGCCAGGATCGCACCCGAACCCGGTGGCGGTGCGGTATAGATAGTTAAATTTCCAATAGTTGATTTAATCGGTTTATCCCATTTTACCCTGTAACAATTACATCTATACATTCTTATTTAGTTTCAGTGGGCACGTATAAGAGGTTCAAACGAACCTGTAATTCTGTAAATCCTGTTTTTTAATGATGCCATTGAAAGACTTTATTTCTTCAACTAGAGTATCAGCCATCGTGCCGTTATAAAATATACCGGGTCCATGTTTTGCAATCAATTTTAACGTTTCTGCCAAACGTGGCCTTTTTATTCTGTCATCTACCTGAAAGAAATGAAACTTTATCGTGATCGTTTTATATTTGACTAAGAAATATGAAAAAAAAAGAATATGCCACAAATAAAAACATATCACCTTCCACGTTGCATTCGTAATAGGATTTATGAGGATTTCCGCCAATGATTTTTGCATCCTTATTAACGGTTCTTTACTAATCAAATACGAGGCTAGATATTTAGTTACGCGAGATCCAGTGGCACATAAAGAAATAGTCGGCTCGAATAGATCGGACCATTGTAATTTTCCATATTTTTGATGGGCTTCCCAGTATCCAAGAAGTTCACCCGGTACGGCAACCGCTAAGCCACCTATTTCGATCAAACGATCAAATTACCACGCGTGTATGTTGCACCTAAAAGGCATATATGTACCTAACAATAATAACAACAAAAAGATCTAACAGCTTACCGTACATTGCTAACTCGGGATTTCCTTTAAACATATCTTTGTGAGCGTCAGATGGAGCGGTTTCTCGTGCATCTAAATAATTGGCAGTTTTGGTCGTCGCGTCCCAAATTGTCATTAAAAATCCTCCACCCAGTCCCATGCTTGGATTTATTCCGAAAGAAAAATGAATTATAAGACGAAAAGTAACGATTATAGATCAGATGTACATGTATGTTATCCGAGATTTAATTTACCTGTGCAAAGACGCGACTCCTTCGCATAAAAGCGCAGCTATAGCCGCATCGACTGCTGAAC